TCTTTTCCAAAAGTGTAAAACTGACCAAGTTCAGTTTAGACCCTTAATTAATTCACTAAAACGAATTTAATTAATTGGATAAGGAAAAGACTGAAATACCCTTCAAAAATCCGGATCGGACATTTCCTTATTTGAACAGCCCAACTTCCAATGGGCGTATCTCACTCATACGAACTCGGATTTGCGCAAAATTGGCGGCGTAGGAAAGATCGTTCCAAGAGCTTTCCAACCATACCTGGAAGTACACCTAACTAATCTTGAGCTAGGAGTTATGTCCGTTTGAAGTTGACCAAAAACTCACTATTTCCTAACTTAAGTAAATTTCTAGATTTTTCCTTCTTTCCAAAAATGACTATTTTCAATTATTGGCTTCTTCCTATTTATTTCAAATTGCGAGATGTTACAACAAATATGAAAAAAGTCATATGATTTGGGTAAGATATTTCTTCTTTGTTTTTTTATTTTTTATGCTCTTACCCTCACGAAGGAGTTTCATTCTAATTTTACTAAAACAACGGGCATCAACATAGTCTATTGAATTATTAGATTGGATGTTAAATCCACTATTTCAAAAATAGATTTTAACTTTTACTTATAATATGATAATATAGTCATGATAATAATTAATTTTTAATAGATATGTAAGTAAAAATGAACGGATCAAGTAAAGTTTTGGTGGCAAGAGATTTCAATCAAATGGAACACTATAGTGAATATAGCATGAACATATATTTTCGTCTTCCTTTTTCGTTGGTTATGTATTGTTCCATATTTTGTTTCTTTTTTATATTTATATTGACTATAGAATTTTTTTTGGTTTGAATTTCCTCTTATTTTGTGTTCACTTTAATTTGAGAAAATGTTATGTCACAACATACAGTTCTTGCTAGCTATATAAAAATAGATAAGAAAATAGTGATTGATCATAAAATAATCTTCAATCAAATTAAAGATTCTATAAATAATACTGAATTTTATTCATCTATTAACTTTTATTATTGAAAAAGTTTAATATTTTATATCACGATACATCTCCTATTAGATACTAGATTCTTTCATTAGAAAACAACTATATGATATGTATGCGACAAAAACAAGGAGAAGACTACAATTCTACAAAGATAAGGTAGAAATTTAAAGAAACGACAAAAAGTTCACCAAAGGTGATGTGTGTGTGTATATATATATATAACAAAGAATTGGTCATGATAGATATATGGCATACACTCAAACCTCTATTTAACCACCATTCGTTATAACAACGAAGTACCTTTTTTTTTGTTGTTGTAAAATTACCTCTCTATGATAGTCTTACTCAAGTATATATTAATTGAGTAATAATATTTTGTAAAAGATAGATTGCGTATAAACATAAAATATTGAACTATTTATGGTAATCCTTATTAGTGTCATGCACATACTATATTTAAAGTAAGAATATTTAAGAGAAAAATTGTACTTAAATGGTGCCCATCATTTATGTTCATAACCTCAAGAGGAAAAGCTATTGGTGACATTTTCTGTATTGATATTTTTTTTCTAAATTTTGTTGGTTAGATTTGCTTACAAAATTGAGTGAAGTAAAAATACTACTAAAGAAATGTAACTTTCTCCCCACATTAAACTTTGAATGTATTTTGAAATGTTCAATGATATTTGGTCATATTGATCTAAAAATGCAAGTAACTCTAAGACAATTTGTATTAATTACTTAAAAACACTTATCCTGTGTTCTTTCAATTATAATTATTTACTAAAAAGATTTAATTTAGTAATATTAATTCTATTTTACAGTATTGTATACTATATATACAATACACACGTGCAACACACGTGCCGTGAAACTAGTGTGTGTGTGTATATATATATATATATAAAAGAGAACTCTAGGCCTACCTACGTGGCGCCATCACAAATCAGGATTCCCTTTTAATTTATTTATTTCTAAAACTAGCCTTCTTCTCCTCTCAAAAACCTTCGCAGTCGTCAATACCATCTTACAAATTAAGTCTATCTTCTAAATGTATAAATATGAGTTCCCCTTTGAACTTACTTAAGCAATTGATCGTCAGATAGGAACACTGGGCCAAACTTAATCCTATGTATACTTGCATTATTGCATGCATTAGTTTACCGTTTCTCGATAATCTTACTTTACCTTTGTTGATTTGAGTTAATCATTTTTTTTAATCTTGGGGTGGTACAATATATATTGAAGGTCAATTTATATTTATTAGAGCTTTGAATTGATATTGAATTACACGTTGTTGGATTTAAAAGGTGAGAATGAAATATGAAGAGTTGCTACTTTCATGAAAAGTAATAACTTTTATGAAAATTTACGACTTTTCTGAAGAGTTTCGACTTTTATGAAAGGTTAACCTTTCAGAAGGATTGTAACTTTTCCAAAGAGTTGTGGCATTTTCGATAAGACACAATAAGCATTTGTTCACACTACCATTTGCTGTCTATAAATGGAGGGATTTTCTCTCATTTTAAAACATAAAAAATTCTGAACTTTTTCTTTTTTTGCACAATTAAATATTTGTGTACTTTGCTCCTGTTGAGTGGCTCACTGACACCATTGTTTTTGTACTAATACACTTGTGAATATATAATCGTTCTATCCTCAGGGGATCTATTCCTTTAAACCTCGGTACCAGCGGGGACACTGTGCATTTAGTGGACTCAATTTTTTTCTTTCTGCTTCATTCTATTGTTACAGATCCCGATATATATTTTACAGTCATTAATTTATGCTTATGTTATTAATTGATATTTTTGAGTACATGCTTTAAATTTTATTGTTTATGTTTCTGCAAAATTATTGTTATAAGTATTTGTTAGTATAGTTAATTGAGTATTCACCCAAGTTTTCTCTACTGTAATTGTTGAAGGTACAATAAAAAAATCCCTTAAAGATCTATATTACCATCTCTTGAAGACAAAATTTAAATGTGGTATGTTATTGTAAGGAAATAGAGACCTTAAAAACCCTATCATACATTGATGTGCGAAGTGAACCAGTAAAAGAAGACAAAATTTAATAAATTTTTGACATTGCTTCAAGGATGTTGTGTCGGATGACCTATAGTGGAATATGACTAGCTGAAGCCTCTTTTAATTCCAAAGACATAGATAACTACACAATAAATTAATTATCCATTTTCAATATGAAGTATGGATAGATTCTCAAGTTTACTGCAAGTTGTAAATACTTTTCTTTAAGTAATAAATGTGTTTCTCGACAATGCGATTGAAATAGAAGTGTAGTTTCAAATTGAAATTCATCACTCTGGTATGCTGATTTTTAAAAAGTCACCCAAACAAACTGAATATTTTTGTATAATATTTTTCCTTTCAAGTATATATGATAAGTTGAATTGTGGTCCAATATGATACATTTTTCCTTTGATTTTCTAAATTAATAATTTCTTATGATACATTTAAATTAGGAACTTTAAAATGATTATGTAAAGTAAAAGGTAGCGCTGAACTTTCTACACGTCAAAATTAGAATTTTTGTTTACTTTTTTTAGCCTTTTAAAAATTATTTATCCCATCACCAACAATTATTTATTTATTAGAAAATTCAATATCTCAAGTTGATGTTTGTTTAATTCCCCAGAAATATCAAATGGTAACACTTCCAAGAAGCAAAATGATAATTCATAAAATTATTAATGTTCGTTAGTGCATAATCTTGTATGTAAGATAATATAGTGTTTTAATTTTAATGACCGATAGTTTTAAGTATTATTTGATAAATTTCCGCATGAAGCGCAGGTAATTCTACTAGTAATTTATATAATATAAAGTCTTAATTGATTTTAAAGTCCTAAATTGTAGTACTATGCACAAATAAGACATAATTTAATTGAAAAAAGAGTTAGTTAATTTCAAAGTTTTAAATATTAAGAAATTAATAATAAAATGACTTTTATCTAATGTAAAATCAATTTTAAAGGGTAAAGAATGTGACTACAATAATAAGAGTTCCTCTTAAATTTTGACTTGCGGAAATCCCTCAACAACAACATATCCCATATAATCCCATAAGTGGGGGCAGGAAAATAGAGTTATGTACAAACCTTACTGCTACCCAGTAATAGGGAGGTTGTTTCCGATAGACCCTTGTCTCAAGGAAAAGTATATCAAAGGCCAATCGAAAAAGAAATTTCTTAGGGAAAATTTTCAAAAATAGCAAATATTAGGCACTCTATAGCTATAGTTTGCTTAATTACGAATAATCGCAAAATGTCATGAGAGAGAGGAGAGAGGCGAGCTAGATCTGGGAGAGTGTATTTTTTGCAGATTTTGGAAAAAAAAATACAAAAATAAATTGGTTTGTATCAAAATGTATACTTATTTAAGAGGAGAGAGACAAGCGAGATCAAGCGAGGGAGGAGAGAGGATTATATTTATTTTGCATTGTATTCTGTATTTGTTTTGTATCAATTGTATTCAAAATACAATAGATTATATTTTGTATTTATTTTGCATTGTATTCTTTATTTATTTAGTATCAATTGTATTCAAAATACAACTGTATTCTTCCTCTCTTTGATTGGATACAAATACATTTGAAAGAGAGGATGGATGCATATTGTATTCGTATGAATACAAATACAATTGATACAAAATATAGTTTTTCAATACAATAGAAATAAAATATGAAACTATCACCTATATTTAATTGAATACAATTGATACATAATACATTTGAATGAATTTCTTCTTATCGTTAGAAGAGAGACATACATAGAGAGAGAGGAGAGGCAAAGGAGAGAGGGGGGGAGTTTGCTATAAAAACAACATATTGCTCTTTTTTTTAATAATATTTTTAAACAATAGTTATTTTCCATAAATAAATTTTAAATTTCTCAGTGGATGGTAAATATATTCTAGTACAAATTTTAACCTTGCAATCGTGCTAGTTATATGATAGAAGTAGTATGGAGTTGAGCAATCATTCACAAAAGGAATTTAGGAATGTTAACTGACACAAACAATTGACTTACTAACAAGAGAGTTACATACAAAAGTTTAACAACATTAACATGAGGAGGTTAACAAATACGACAATAATGATACAAATGAGTCATCCTGGATAGCACGTAGTACACTTCCCTTCATTGAAGGAACTTTAGTACTCAAGGGCTTGGCAGAGGTGGCAATGGTATTGGCAACTGTGGCAGAGGTAGCTGAGGTTTGGGAAGTTCTGGCATAGGTAATGGCAACTCCGGTTTGGGCAAAGGTGGCAGCTGAGGGTTTGGAAGTTGTGGCAGAGGAAGATTGGGCATAGGTAATGTGGGCAATCCAGGTTGCGGCAGTGGAAGATTGGGCATAGGTAGTGTGGGCAATCCAGGCTGCGGCAGTGGAAGATTGGGCATAGGTAATGTTGGTAGCTCGGGTTTTGGGAGGCCAATGGGGAGATCTGGCAAAGTTGCGTCCAAAAGATGGCGAGCCTCAACTTGAATTACATGGCTGCTGATTGATGATAAGACAACGAGGAAGAGAAGGTAAAGAGACTGATGAGCCATTGTTATAGAAGATGATTTAAACAGTTTCTTGAGCTTCGGTGGATGAAGACTGAGGCTTATATAGAAAGCAGAGTGTAAATTTGTTTGGTGGGGAAAAAAATTGGGCTGGTTTATCAGTAATATTATCAAGAATATTTTTATGGTCTCTGTTTTTCACCCAAGTACACCTGTATAATTTAGGAGGGGGGGGGGGGGGGGGGAGAGAGAGAGATAAAAGACAGCTCACAATTTAACAGCTATGAGAGCCAATAGGAATACATTCATTAAGCAGACATAGACAAAAGCAACCAAAAAGACAGATAAGGAAAAGAGAAACTGGAAGATAAGTTACAGAAAACGAAAGGCAGGGAGCTTATTGTACAAGTTCAGGAATTTCTGAACACAACTATGTTATCCATGAGAAGAGTCTAGAGGTTAATCAATCGTCCTTTCCCCTTTTTCCATGCTTCATGCATCTTCGCATCCGCAATGTGACGAGTGAAAATTTTACAAAACCAATAGTATTATAGTTGATTCTAATAATATTGCTCCCCATAAAATTGCAATTTAAACATTCCAGGAAAGAAAAAGTGGACCTCCCTTTCCCCAATATTATATCTGCATCTATATGAGAGCAAACAATGTAGCCTGAAAAGGGTATAATGATGAATTGGCTCAGTAATCACTGAATGATGAATCAGAGCAACTCTATTTTCAGAATATTTACATGCCAATCATATCAATTGTTTAAATATGGTATCTTCATAATGTTAAAACAAGTGTTGATTCCTGTACTTTCTTGGGAAACCATCAAGCAGTACTCATCTACTCATCAATGTACAGTGGCCTGAGAACTATTTTAGCAGCTATGCAAGGCCTCGTGAACTAAAAGATTACATGCAAGTTCAATAAGTTTAGACTTGAGGAAACCAGACTTCCCCCACAGGGAGCAAAATCATCTGCAGTGACAGGATAGTAGATACAGATGATTTGTGCCCTAATGCCAAATGAAGATCATTGTTTTCCATCAGTAGGAAAGCAAACAGAACAAATTCTTATATTTAATAGGATCCAAGGTCATTCAATCAAACACAACACCTTAAGAAAAACTGCCCATTCAAATTATGATAACTAGAGTTTGCACCTGACTCCACCAGCAATTCTCAAATGAGCATAAGAATGTTGTCTAAACTCTTGATTAAGTTTTACAATAATTTTCCAGCCATAGTGCAGCAGATTTCAGTACACGAAGCTCACCCGTGAGAAGGTATTGAGCCATTTGTCTCCGCATAGCAATTTTTCCAACCATGCAGAGAGTAGGCAGCTCCAATGACTGAATAGGCAAAAGTGAAAAGTTCAAGAGTGTGCCAAATGAACAGACTGATTATTTCTACCATTAATCACACAGTGATGTCTGCCAGGAAATAACTGTTTCCTATAATGTCATGTATCCAAAGAACAATATGCATTTCCATGACAATGTGAGGCATCCATTATTCAGCCAGACATTGGATGAACATAGAAAATGATAAAGTTATTAAGTAATGTCTTTCCCATATACAGGACACATAGTATTATAATAATGAGCGGAGTAATATGCCGGATTGAAGTAATAAGCACACTTCTTACTAGGGGTAAGCAGAACATAAATACCGAAAACTGAAAACCGGACCAAACCAAACTAATTCGATTCTTCGATTTCGGTTTTTCGGTTCTATTTTTCTAAAACTTCGCTATTCGTATCTCTGTTATAGGGTCCAGTTCACCGAAATTTTATTACAAAAATTTATTATTTCTGCCTGGCTAATTAATTCTACTAACAACAACATACCCATTAAAATCCCACAAGTTGGGTCAGAAGAAGGTGGGATGTACGCAGCCTTACCCCTGCCTTGTGAAGGTAGAAAGATTGTTTCTGATAGACCCTCGGCTCAAGTAAAGCATATAAAAATCAAGTATGTAAAGCAAACACAGTTGAAGAAGTCATGCTGAAAACAACGAAGAAAAGGCTAGTAGCAACAACAAAACAATACGATAATTGAAGCAAAGGAAACAACCAGTATACTAATATCAAAGAATAAGATAGTGGGAGAGTAATAATAACAATATTGAAAAGCGAACTAGACAACGCTCAACCTACTACCCTTCTACCCTAATCCTCGACATCCATATCTTTCTATCTACAGTCATGTCCTGGATGAGCTGCAAGTGAGTCATGTTTTGTCTACTACTACTGCTACTGCTAATACAGGGCAGTGAGGTTATTATCAGAAGCCTGTATATTATTGGCTGCAAAAATGGATGAAAACAGAGGAAATGTGCCAGCACTATCAGAATTATCCTATGAAAAATTATTACTTAATTACGAGTGACATAAGGAGAATGGAGTTTTTGGTTCTTGATGTACTCCGTTGGAATATGAGTTGTGCCACTCCTTTTGCTTTCACAAAAAAAATTGTATCAAGATTCTGTAGAGAAGTTTCAAGAAAACACTATACTAGAATTAGAACTGTTGAAATCATCATGATTGTTCTTAAAAGTAATTAATAAATTCCGAGGTTCGTTAAATTCCACTGTTTTCTGATCATCAGTTAATAAGAGTATTAATTCAACTTTTGCCTTATTTTATTGTTGAACTTATTTAACCAGATGTGAGGTTAATGAATCATAATACACAAACCATCTGTAATAGCAGCAGCTGCAACATTATTAGCAGTAACAGTTTTCTTACTTGCTGCATTTGTAACTATCTTTGTGGCCCCTTATTTTTTTTAAAGGAAAAACACAAAATAATCCATTTGGAAATTTTAAAAAAGAGAAAATTAGGCAAGGTGACCATTCGACCATAGTTCTTACCCAAAATAGCCCAATTATTGCTTATTTCTAGATATAAGCGGATAGCCTTATTTTCCTCCTTTGTTTTCTCCTCTGTCTCTCTCTCTCTCTACCGAACAATCTGACCTCTTCCTTCGTCTCTTATACAAAAAACAAACTCCAGTTCCAGTGTCTCATTCCATTTCTTCTTCTTCTTCTTCAATGTCATCCATTGGAGAATCAATGTTTTGGACGGCAAAAGAAGACATTTGACAAAAGGCAACAAGGGTCGGCCTCGCCACAAGGTGAGGCGAGTGGCGAGTGGCGAGTGGCGAGTAGCGAGGTGTTCACCTTTTTGAAGTGCGGCTCCAATTAATACAAAAAAATTAAAATATTTAATTGTATATATAAATAATCAAAATCTCAATTGCAATAACATATTAGCAAATATTTGAATTGAAAAATTAAAAATAGATGGTACATATTATAAGTCTAGAACTTGAATGAGAAAAAACAGAACAAAAGTCAAATCAGTGAGAAAAAATAGAGGTGGAAGTAACTCTGAAGCCTGAAGAAGGAAAGAAAATAGAGGAAGAAGAAATATGAAGAAGAAAAAGAAAGAAATTAGAAGAAAAGAAGAAATACGTATTGGTTGGACTTTGGAGTTGCTGGAAAAGTCCGCCTGGTCACGGATGACTAGTTGGAGTCGGAGTTGCAGTCGCAGTCTAAGAATGTAACTGTACATTTTGAAAAGAAAACCCTAAATTGGTCGCCTGTTTTTAAGAAAATACAAAAGGCGATGCCTTTGTTGCATCTCGCCTTTGTCGCCATTGTCTCCATGGCATCTCCTTTTGAAGATTGCCTCGTCACAAGCTGAAAGGGGATGAAGGGTTGTCTCGCCTCATTGGCAATGAGGCGATCACCTTTCACAACACTGGGAGAATCTAACCAGAAACTCAATTATTTGATTGGCGATGCCATGGTTGCGATTGGTGGTGAACAAAATTGTAGAAGCTGGCGATGCCAGCAATATAAGAGTCTCGCACAACCTTCGCTATTACACCCATTCCGTCATCCAACAAACCTATAATGTAGTTTCGGTGGTGCCAAGTTATTCCTTGATCGTCTGTATGACAAGTTCTTTTCTCCTTTCTCTCCATGTCTGGAGGTCTACTTTGCGAGATAGATTAATGTCGATTGGAAATGTTTCAAATCGATTTGAGCAGTTTAATAGTTGATGAAGAAGACAGTTTCAAACCAATTCGAGCAATTGAATAGTTGATGAAGAAGACAACCTGGTTAGCATTTGATTATGTGTGTAATAGTGTGAATACATTGTTTATACATAAGTTGCTCGGACTCAGGTGCGGATGTCTCATACGGGTGTGGATCTAAAAGTTGGATCCTTCATGATCTAATTTTTAAGATGCGGGGATATGGATCCATGTATGGATACTGGTGTGGGGATTCGCCTCAAAATAATTAAAGCATCTAAATATAGAGTTATAAAACCTAAATTATGAGATATTATGTGGAGAACTTGAGGAGAATCCAAGAAGGAGATTAAAGGAAAAGGAGTGACACAGAAATTTCAATATAAAAGGTATTCCATTTTCTTCAATTTCACCTTAGCTTTTGTGTTGATTACAAAAATCATTAAAATTGTCCAAACTTTCCCCATCAATTTTGGTCAAAGTGCCCAAAATTGGTTGACCAAATCGAACACGGATCTTACACCCATGTCGTGTCGACACGGGTGCAACACCAAAAGTGAAGTGTCAGAGAAACTTAGATTTATACATCATATATACATGGTTATACACTATTTATACATTATATAACAATGTATAAATATTGTATAACAATGTATAAGTATGCATATACATCTCTTATACATAGTTATACATCATATATATACTACAATACACAATTTATATAAGATAGATACATTACATATACATGCGGCCGTTAGCTGAAATTTTGTTGTGCGGTACCCATGTAAGAATCCCTTTAAAAAATAGCCATTTGACAAGAAGAAAAGTAGCACATTAATAAGACCCATACCTAAGAACCAAATTAGAAACGACCGACCTAAACGTATTCACTATTGAATAACTGAACCAATCCGAAGAACCAAATGCCCACCCTACTTCTTACTACACTTGAAGGCTGCAATTTTACTGAAAAAAAGTGGAAGTAGCAGGAGACACCTTAAAAGAAGAAAAAGTCATCTTTCCTTCGCTAAAAGCTAGAGTCATGAAGCCATTGTGGCATTTTCCCTCACTACTGCATAGTAGTTGTAAGAATATGTCAATCCCATACAAAGGGGGATTGAAACTTATTGTTAGCGCAACCCTTCCTGCATGGGTGGCAGGAGATCCATCTAAGGGCTGCTGTCCCCCCTTTAGCGGCCAAGTAGAAATGCACCTTGCATAGAGAACTCAACTTAGTCTTCTGCATCATTTTGTGCTTGTTTAGCATTAAATAATATAATACAAGTTTTTTGCATTTCATGATTTTCATCAGCAGTGCCTGCAAAGTGACTTGCAACTCTGGTGTTTGAAATATCCACTTCTCTCTCGGTATGGCCTGTCAGCAAAAGTACTATCTAGAGCACTTGCACCTAACAAATTCTTATTTGTGGTTCCGTGCTGAATCTATATGAATCTTTCTAAAACATATGAATAAACTATTATTCTTACCTTAATAGATGCATTATACTCATCTATTAGCCCAGTGATTTTTGAGAGCAAAAACTGATGTGCTTGAATCTCTCTGCTCTTGTCCTTTAGTGGACGCCGAGCCACCCGACCATCATTTTCTGCAGCTTCCATGGCCAAATAATTTATCTCTACATGTTACAGTTTAAACAAGGTTAGTATAATGTGAAATAGGAAATATTGACTGTACAAATAGCTGAACAAATGCACGGAAAAAAAGATGACCCTAGGACCTTGTGGAGAATTGGAGCACAGAACACGAGCAAATGCACGAATTGACTGTGGAATTCCCCTACCTTGAGCGTCAGCAAACCTAACTTCCCTGAAGAGGGAGAGGGGGTGAGAGTGGTTATGAAAAAGAACTTAACAGCAGCCATCAGATAGTAAACCAACTATATCTATAATATTGTTTGCTGATACATACAAATATCTATATTATCAAAAATTAAACTTGGCAAGGAGATACAAACTTGAGTACAAACGAATTCTCAGAGGAACTGAATCCATTGACATCTTTGAGAATTGGTATCTGATGTTTGCTCAAAAGCTCCAACTTCAACTGACGTAGTTTGTCTTCATGAGGTATAGTCAGCTCAACTTCAACCTGAGAGAAACTGATGCCTTTTATGTGAAATGTAACCAAATATGACCATAATTTCGGAGGTAATTTGGGAGTGTTGAGATTATTTCCCTACTTTGCATTGATTTAGCTATTGTGATTGTCCCTAGCATGTGAGTATTAGGTGCTAGGACATGTAATCTAGCCTGGAATCTGTAGCTTACCTAATTTGTAATCAATCTAGTTTATGTCAAAACTAACGAAGTTCGATAGAATTCTGACGATGCTCAATCATATTATACCCATTCTCACTAATTATATAGTATCAAAGGTAGAGAAATAAATTTGTAATCTGCAGCTTCCTACGCTGATCAATTCAATTCTAAGAAATTCTATCATCGTAATTGAATCTATAACGTAATTCTAATTCATGATCAGAGGATCTTCAAGGACTCAACAAGGTCACGCCTAGGGTTTTGAATGCCTAGGGTTTTGAACATTCTTATATTGGATATTTATCTGTGATTAGTTACGATTAAAGGCATGTAAGACTATCCCTTCGCGTGGGAACACTATTGATCTTCCCTGTGTCAACTTGTTTTTATTGAAAAACCCGAAAGTTTCTCCTCCATGAGATGACTACGGGGTAGGTAGGATTTTGATGTTCTTTGTCCATGAAGACTCACTACGAACACCATGAATCCTATAAATTTTCTCAAGTTTAATCCCATGCATGTTCTACTAAATTACGATTATGCTCTTTTTGTCAAATATAAACATTATGCTATAATGACTTGATTTTCCCATGATTTTTGTTTCATGAATTATGACATATGAATGCTTATGATTATGAGCTCTTAAAACAATGCATGAGTTACGATTATGAGACTTCGGGCTGAATTATGAACATCAAATGAAGGGAGTAATATGGTTAACCGAGAAGGCATTAGTCTATACGACAAGTGCCCGAAACTACATTTGCCGACGTAAGATTTGGATCACACCGTAGAGTTGGGCGTATCCTCTAGGTTGCCCAACAAGGCATATTATCGATCTTTTGCTAGCAAAACTATGTTATGTATGTTTCACACCCAACAAGGTATGGAAAGGCCTAGCTAATCGGGCCAAGATCAGACTCCATGTGCTCCCCTGGTGGATTATGTCGATTATACTAATAAACTGATGAATGATGAACTACGAAGTACGAACGTTAAGGTCAACTTAATTATTTTCGATCGCTTGATTGCCCCATGTTTTGATTATGTCTCCATTGGTTGTCCTGTTTCTCTTTCAGTTATGTTTCATCCTTCCCTTACATACAATACAATTTCATATGTACTTCCGTCCCTTAACTTTGGGGCTTTGCATTTCAAAAGGCAGGTTCTGGTACTCAGACAGGAGATCAGATTCACATTAGAAGACCTGTCTAGTATAACTCTTTCCTATGGTTGTGAAGCACACCACACTTATTGTACATTTGTAACTGTAAGTTTTGGTACCAAAATTGTACAATTTTATTCATCCATAGAGATACAAATTTATAGTATAGAAAAATAAACTAGTTAGCAATCAGATTCCTTGATTCTAGGAGATTTGAGAATCAAGGGATGATTCTAATATCCTAAATAACATATCAGATACGATTTTGTTAGATCAATTTAAACGAAACTATATCTAATCACACTTAGATATTTACAAATCAACACTCCCCCTCAAGTTGACATGTAAATATCTTTCATGCCATACTTGCTTACAAGAATTTCAAGCTTTGGTTTAAACAAGCCTTTTGTGAAAATATCCGCAATTTGCTGATTTGTTGGGACAAAATGTATGCACACGTTTTCTTCTTCAATCTTCTCTTTTATGAAGTGTCTATCCACTTCAACATGCTTTGTTCTATCATGTTGAACTGGATTGTGAGCAATACTTATGGCGGCTTTGTTGTCATAGTATAACTTCATTGGTAACACAAACAGTTTCTTTAGTTCTTCCATCATCTTCTTGAGCCAAATCATTTCACAAATCCCGTGGGCAATAGATCGATATTCAGCTTCAGCACCAGTGTTTTGGACGGCGAGAGGCGACAAAAGCAGCAAGGACCTGCCTCGCCACGCGGCGATTTTGAATCGAGGCGCCAATTAATACCAAAAATTAAAAATATTTAATTGCATATATAAATATCCAAAATCTCAATAGCAATAACATAACATATATAAATATCCATTAAAAGTACTCCCACAAAAGTTACAATTAACCGAAATAATTATAGAAGAATTTTTTTAAAAAATATGTAGGCAGCGGGCAGTGGGCAGTGGCTTTAGTAGTTCAGTTCTTATTCAGAAATCAGACTTCAGTCTTCACAATAAAAAACAGAGGGACTGAGAGAGTACTAAAAACAGAGCAAAAGAAGAGAAGATAGATTGATTCGAGAAAAGAAGAGAAGAGAGATTCCTGTCGACTTCAAGCAGTACCTGAGCAGCAGCAACAGTCGCGACATTCGACTTCAAGTTTCCAGTCGCAGCAGCAGCAGTCGCGACATTCGACTTCAAGTTTCCAGTCGCAGCAGCAGCAGTCGCGAACTCTAATTCCAGCCGAGGGATTGATTTCAAGTCTCCAGTCGCGAAATGAGAAGGAGCAGTCGCGACATAAGTTTGAAAAAATACCCAAAAAAACCCTAATTTGATTATTTGGCTTTTAAATTATTAAAATTCAGACTTTAAAAAAAAAAAAAAAAAGGCGACGCCTATTGCATCACCAATTCCACGTCACCCCTCACCTTGGCTTGCCTTTTTGATCTTGCCACGCCTCGCCTGAAATAGGCGCAAACCCCTCACCTCGTCGCCAAAGGCGAGAGGTGCTCACCTTTAAGAACACTGTTCAGCACTGCTACGGGCTACAACATTCTGTTTTTTACTCCTCCAAGTCACGAGATTTCCCCAGATATAAGAACAATATCCTGATGTAGACCTCCTATCAATAGTAGAACCTGCCCAGTCTGCATCTTTAAAGCTTTCAACGCCTTTATCTTGACCTTTTCTGAAAAACAATCTTTTCCCTGGTGAGCTTTTCAGATATCTTAGAATTATGTAGACCGCTTCTTGGTGCTCTTTCTTCTGAGAGTGCATAAACTGACTTACTAAGTTTACAACAAAAGCTATATTAGGTCGAGTGTGTGATAAGTAAATCAACTTCCCTACTAGTCTCTGATATTGACGTTGGTCAACTAAATTTCCTTCTTTGTTTCCGAATTTTATATTCGGATCAATAAGTGATTCAGCTGGACGACAACGTTTTATAAGATCTAGTACATTCCTTTGTGACACCATAATGCCTTCTTTTGATCTTGCTACTTCCATGGCAAGAAAATATTTCAATTGACCCAAATCTTTGATCTCGAATTCTGAGGCCACCTATTTCTTTAAATTCTTCATTTCTGGCAAGTCATCTCCCGTAAGTATGATATAATCAACATACACTATCAGGATAGTTGTTGATTTGTAAATACCTAAGTGTGATTGGATATGATTTTGTAGGATTTAAATTGATCTAACAAAATCATATCTGATATGCTATTGAATAGGTTAGGATATTAGAATTATCCCTTGATTCTCAAATTTCCTAGAATCAAGGGATTTGATTGCTAGCTAGTTTATTTTTCTATACAATAAATTTGTATCTCTATGGATGAATAAAATTGTACAATTTTGGTACCAAAACTTTCATGGTATTAGAGCAAGGTTATTCTTGTAACTAAAGCAACATTGACTGGGCTACATCACCCAACAACATCAATAGAAGTCGAGAGTTCTATTAACAAAATTTTGACAGAGAACAATGAAGCCGTGGTGTAATTTTTGCAAAAAATATGGGCACACTCGTAAGACTTGCTGGAATATCCATAGGAGACCACCTAGCTGGAACAAAAAAATGGCAGGTCAGACATTTCAGCAGCAGGGCTACAATCTTCTCTAGAAATGCGTCCTTTCACTAAGGAACAAGTAGAGCTACTACAAAAATTTCTCCAACCTCAACTCCAAACCAATAAATCTAATCCTTCTACTCCCACTTGTTCTTATTCCCAAGCAGGTAATGTACCATCCATTTTTGTGAGTACAGGTTCAACTGGTATAAGTCCTTGAATCATAGATTGATTCGGGGGATAATGATCACATGACATGGAATTTCCATTTTTTCTCAACCTACAGTCCTTTATAGCAGGAAATAAACAAGTCAAAGTTGTTGATGTTCCTTCTCAACAATTGATGGCGATCAAACTAACCCCTTTCTTGACCCTTTTTTATGTCCTTCATGTTCCAAAATTATCTCATAATCTTTTGTCCATCAGCAAATTGACTCAAAACCTTAATCGTGGTGCTATATTTGATTCTATTTCATGTGTATTTCAGGACAAGGTCTCGGGGAAGATGATTGGCTATGCTAGAGAGTCTGAAGGTCTCTATTTTCTTGAAAACATGGACAACTCAGTAAATTTTAGTTTAGCTTGTTTGAACTTTGTTCAAGTTGATAATAAAGTCATGTTATGGCACTATAGACTTGGTCATCCTAGTTTTCATATTTGAAACTCTTTGTTACCTCAGTTGTTTATGAATAAAAGTACATCTTCTTTCCAGTGTGAATTTTGTGAAATGGCTAAACACGGACGTTCATCCTTTTCTTCCCAAAAATACCATGCCACAAAACACTTTAAGTTAATCCATAGCGATGTTGGGGGACCTTCTAAGGTAACAACTGTAAATGGGAAAAGGTGATTTGTGAGTTTCATATATGATCACACTAGACTAACTTGGTACCTATTGAAAGACAAAAGTGAAGTAAAACATATGTTTGAGGCTTTTTATGTTATGGTCGAGATACAATTTCATGAGAAGATTCAAATATTTCAGAGTGATAATGGGAGAGAGTATTTTAATGACCATTTAGGCAATTTTTTCACTTCCAAGGGAATATTGCACCAAAGTTCATGTCCTAATACACTCCAACAAAATGGAGTAGCTAAGAGAAAAAATATGCATCTTATGGAGGTAACTATATTCACAAGTGGAGTCCCTAAATTTCTTTGGGGAGAAGCTCTTTTGACATCCACCTATCTTATTAATAGGATGGCTTCCCGTGTTCTAGGTTTTAAAACCTCTTTCAGTATGTTCAAGACATACTTACCTACTTCTAGATTGACCACTGATCTACCTTTGAGAGTTTTTGGCTGTAGTGTATTTGTGCAGCCTTAATATTCACAAGTGCTAGGATTGACAATTCGATCACCTGGTTATTCGTTTGGATTTTGTGTAAATTTTTGTGTTTCAAAGCTTCTGAAACTTGAATGGTTGACTTCGGTCAAAAATTTAGAAAAACGGCCTCAAAATGCAACACTATCGGTTTCATTAGCGCTGAAATGTCGAGTTTGGTCTAGAAGGACCTTTTGTGCAGATCCCGAGGCTTCCAAGCTAATCTTGAGCCCCTTCGTGAAATTTGGCTTAAAATGAAGGTTGGGTGGGGGACCCACTTTTTGTCAAGACAACCTCGGTTAAAAGTTGTGACAACTCCGTTGAGTCTGGAATATCGAATTTGGTGGGGTACCATATCTCATTTGCGCGCACAGGGTTTCGAATGAATCCTGAGCACCCCGTCAGGAATTTTCACATTGGCCAAAACCAGTTGATGTGCATCATCTGGTGCAGGCAATATTTGCCCTTAGCATTCGCGTGCTTCAAGTCGCATTCGCATGACCTGGTCTATGTGTTTACGAGGCCTTAGCCGCATTCGCGGAGGCCTACTAGGTTAGAGTGTTGTATTGGTTACCTGGGAGTAGACGTCGTTCCACAGTGATTCTATGATGACGATTTGGCATGGGATTCTTCGAAAGCCCATTTGATCGCAGATTCAAGGTCTTGTCATGCATCATTATTGATCGTGGATTCATGGTCTAGTCATGCTACTCTATTGTTGGTCGCAGATTCAAAGGTCTGGTTATGATGAGCTATTGTTAATCTCAAATTTGAGGTCTGTGCATTTCATCTTCCAACCGCAATCCATGATTTGGGCTCATTATCCTCTACGAAGTTGATATTTATTAGCTTGGCTCTATTAGTTACTTTGGGAGGCCTATCCGCGTTCGCGCTACGCATTCTCTGGCTCTGGATTCACCGGGTCCTATTAACAGTAGTTGTAGTTCTTTTATGTACCTATCAGGCTTATGAGGGTCCGTTCGGGTTTTTATTTAAACTTGCGCACGAGTGTACCTTTTGGGCTTATGGGGTCCAGTTAGGTTTTAGCTAGCTATTTACTTACTTTATTTAAGTTTGTCCTACACTCGTGTGCATTTCTGTTAGATTTTCACTTTTGACCTTTATTATGTTTAATTCTCGCATTTCATATTGCCTTTACTTTTCTTGCTCAGGCGGCCAATGATGCCTACTGAGTACTTGGTGTTTTGGCATTCATGCTACACTCTGCATCTATTTCGTGATGCAGAGCACTAACTATCAGCATTGAGTTTGAGCCGATTGCCGCAGTATCTAGAGGCAAGGGTAATCTTATGGCGTCTTAGATCATACATGTCTCCTTCAATACCATTTGACTAGTCTATTGTATTTTGAGACAAGTTTGTTTATTTGTGGTCCACCTTTGGGACTTGTACTCTTTTCTATAGTAGCTCTGTACTTGTGACTTTCAGGTTTTGGGAGAGATCTTTTTGTTATGTATATATTATGTTGCTTCCGCTTTCTCCTATTATCTCTATTAAATTGTTTATTCTTGCTTAGTTTCTACCCTTATAGACATTACTTGACGTTCCGGGTTACGGGTTGACTTACCTACTGGTGGGTATAGTAGGTGTCATCATAACCTGAGATATTGGGTCGTGACACGTAATTATCTCTTAGGAAAATCCCTCAAAGACTTTGCAGTTGAATATCTTTAAGGAAGATGCAAATCTATGTAGTTTGCTTCTAGATTTTCTAAAGAACAAAAAATAAACCACCCAGCAAAACATGTGTATGCATGAGTGTCCTATTGAGGCAATTAATAGATGTAGAGTCACAGCTGAATCAGTACCTCTAACAACGTCAGCAAAGGGAAGTTGTTAGCAGTTTGCCCCCAAAATGTCAAAGTAATGAGGTTTGGAATAAAGAATGTGGTCAAGCTTGAAAGGACTCGTGACAAGCAGTATCTACCAACTTTTCGGATGGAATTGAAATGAGGGAATGTACATAAATCAATAAAATGGAATTGCATATGCAAAGAGTGCATGATCTCGGTGATAATTCAATTTGGTTCATCCATTCTGAAAGATAATGCAAAACATACAGTGAAAGTTTGTCATCTTACCTGGTCATACACATTACAAGGGAGAGTAAATCCAAAGTCCAAAAGGAGTCTTGCATTTGAAAACTTTCCGTATCTTATGAGCATCTGTAGGAAAATTGTAACTAATATTCAGTAAGAATCCTTATTTCACAAATATATGTATGCTACACCATAGTTATCACCGGCAATAATTTGTAGCAATTCAATCAAATGGATATGTCGTGATATGAACATCTATGCTTGTGGTTAATAAGTACCCTTTCCTCTTGATAATTTGAAAGCTTTCTAATATTTTTCTAAAATTCCTTTCAAAACATCATGCTTCTGAGTACAATCTGATGGATTATGCAAAGGTGAGGTTAACTATGAGAATGTGTGACATCAATGTTTCATGCTTTTATCATTTTATCTGCACACTCCACAATGAATACTTCAAGCTTGTCCTATCTGGGACACTACTTTGTACAATAATATACTAGCCTATCTAAGATTACCCCTCAAGTAGATGACTACACATTGCATATGCCGAATTTATTACATATTTAATTAACTCAAGGGCTTGCAAGATCCGGCAAATATGTTTGCAAGCTAATCATTCGACATTATAGTTCTCGAATTCTCATGACAATTGAGAGTATTCTCTCTAATAAAGTGACAATCAACCTCTATGTGTTTGATCCTTGTTGAGATGTCCCACATCGGTAGAGGGATGGGAATTTGATCTCCTAATATGGACTTGGACAAACCTTCCTTCATGAGCTAGCTTTTGGGGTTGAGTTAGGCCCAAGTGTCATATCATTACATGGTATCAGAGCCAGGCCTATCACAATTTGTTGCTCCAGAATGATGGGGCCCCATTTAGAAGTGTTCACGCTTCAGTAGAGGTTTGGACGTGCGACAGAGTGTTGAGATGTCCCACATCGGTAGAGGGATGGAAATTTGGTCTCCTTATATGGACTTGGACAAACCTGCCCTCATGAGCTAGCTTATGGGGCTGGGTTAGGCCCAAGTGTCATATCTTTACAATCCTCTCAGAGTACACTGGATCTGAAGAAATATGGAGTAACTTCATTACATAAACAAGTTCCATCTAAGTGGTTTCTCCAAACTTAAACCCTCTTCGGTAGTCAACTGATCCATATGAACTCGCAAGTCACAGTTTTCATGGCTCAATATTCAACTCAATCTCCCACTACATACAAAAACTGCTTGAACTTGTCAGAATTTTTCATTTAGATACCTAAACAAAGTTCCTAACCGGTTAAACACCTAATCCATGCTCAAACTGTCTATTAGACACAAGGACTGATATGACATACAACATCTTGAGCGGTGAACTTGTTAAATTAAGATGATCCAGCACATTATTGACCATCAACCCAACCCAAAGAGTCATCACGTTCCTCCATCATTTGACCTCCTCCATTTCCCAGTCAATACACAAGTCCCACTCTCCTTTTCTTCGTTCCACCTTTCTCATTTCAACAAAAATTACATACACTTTCACTACAGAACATCAGAGGATTCCCACTCTTTCATCTATCCACTAGTAGATGCCTCAACTGGATCTTCACACAATGAGAGATGATGACACCAAATCCATGATTGAGAAGAAATTCTTCATAAATTTCAAGAGAAGAGACAAAGACCAAATTGAACTTCTTGGAACTAGCTTAGTGATGGTTTAGGTTGCATTGCAGAATAGAATATTTGGAGTTGGAGAGCCACATTTGCCAAAATTTTAAAGAAGGCAAGATAGGTGACAATATTAGAGGGTAAAGTCAAATTTTCGAATGATAAATATTTGCTCTAATCTTTTTTTAAGATGTCTCATGCAGGTGGTAGAGATGATGAAAGAAGGGCTCGTTTAGAAGAAAAATTGAATGGAGGAAATGATTTCACCCTGAGTGCTATGTTTCAACAATTTCAAAGGTGGACTACACAATTTGAGATGAATGTTATTATAGCTACTAGAGCTCCTAATGTGCAACAAAAATATCCGTTTGATGAATTAGAGGATGATTGTGACTAAAGTTATGAAAGGTAGTGCTTCTATTTGGTAGAAAAGGGTAAAAAGTTTGTTAGGGACAAAGAATTGTCAGGAGAGACACCTATTGCTACTTGAATCAAGATGAGAAGGAGAGACACCTATTGCTACTATTGTTATTACTTTAAACTGTTTCTTCCACATCTTGTGTTGGGTTTAGGCTTGTCCACTCGGTGGGTTGTAGTGGACGCCATCATGGCTCATTTTCGGGTCGTGACACAGGTATAGGGAATTTGTCTTTAATGGTTAACTTATTTAGAGCCCTGTAATTAACAGTCTCCAAGAACCATCCTTCTTACTAACCAACACTATACAACAAGACTAGCATAAGGGCTAGGACTGGCATCCACTGTAACTAACAGTCTCCAAGATCTTGCATCCACTGTTTTTAGCTTAGTGGTCTCACTCTTCAACATGTGATCTTTACCCCTCATACTTGAACTACATGGTCAGCTTGCTGAAATTCATAATGATATCACCAATGGTTCCAACCATTGCATTCCCAGAACATCACAGGACCCCAAGGGTAGCACCAACATATCATTTTTTTTTTTGAGAAGGTTAACTGGTATTATAAACAAAAGGAGTACACCTATAGTGTGCTCCTACATAATTACATCAAAAGTATGAAGGAACAGCCCAAAACAAAATCTATCACCTATATCCCTTATAAACTGTCTAAAAATAGGGTAATGTCCCCTATATCCTTAGGTACAGAATGGATACACCAAAAGTAAAAGGTTGCTAAACAGTTCATCTTTATACTTTGGAAGGGAATGCTCTTGTCCTCAAAACATCTCTAGTTTCTCTCCTTCCAAATTGTCCACCAGATGCAAGCAGGGACAATCTTCCATCTCTCCTTGTGTCCTGACTAATTTCCATCTCTATTCCAACATGCTAGTACTTCTGAAGTATGCCTTGGCATGTCCCATCCAATACCCCTCAGATTAATGAACCATTGCCATAATTTTCAATCACTTTACAATGCAGAAAAAGATGATTTACTGTCTCTATTTCAGCTTCACAAAAAAAACATCTAGAGCATAACTGCCTTCCCCTTTTCATAAGGTTGTCCTGAGTCAGGACTGCTTGATTTGCAACTAGCCAATTGAAACAAGCCACCTTATGAGGTATTGTCCCTTTCCAAATCATCTTCCATGGACACCATTCCTTGGTTTCAATTGAGATATCCAACAGCTTGTATGCTGCTTTCACCCTGAACTTGCCATCTTTGTCCAACTTCCATAACAATTTGTCTTCCTCAAAATTGAGACTCTTAGCTTGTTCCAAGGTATTGTAGAACTGAATCATTCTCTCCACTTCTCAGTCATTGAGGAGTCTTCTGAAGGACAGATTCCAACCTTGTGCATTTTTTACCTCTAAGATAGTAGCTAGCTTCTGTTGATTGAGGTTGTAGATGTTTGGAAATTGTTGCCTCAGAGGTGTTTGCCCCACCCATACATCATTCCAGAACATGGTCTTTCTGCCATTACCCAATTTGATCACAAAATTACCCCACATTTTTTGCCATTGATTTCTGATAGTCCTCCATAGTCCCCTTTCATAAGGAGTTTTTACTTCCTGAGTAGTCCATGGTCCTTCTCTACCATATCTTGCAATAATGATTTCCTTCCATAGGCCCTGCTCATCTGCTGCCAGTCTCCATAGCCATTTTAACAGAAGGCTCTTGTTTTGTGCTTTCAAATTCTTAATTCCTAGACCTCCCTCTTTTTTAGTTGTTATGACAGCCTCCCACTTGACCAAATGATGCTTCTTCTCCCCTTCACCATTACCTTGCCAAAGAAAGTTTCTCCTGATAGCATCCAACTTTTTGATGATCTTCCCATGAATGAGGAAAAGAGACATCATGTAAGTTGGCATGGCATCAAGAACACTATTGATCAGTGTGACTCTGCCACCCAAAGATAAGTATTGACTTCTCCAGTTAACTAGCTTATTTTCACACCTTTCCACCACAGAGTTCCATATGTTCTTGGACTTACACTTAGCTCCCAAAGGCATTCCAAGATAGGTGGTGGGAAGCTCCCCTATCTTACCACCTAAAATGTTTGCCAAAGTACTGATTTCTGGAACTTCATTCATAGGATAGATAGAACTCTTTCCCCAATTTAAATTAAGTCCAGAAACTGCTTCAATCAGGATGAAGATAGCCCTTAGGTGTTGTAGTTGTTCCTTCTCTACTTCACAAAATACCAAGGTGTCATCAGCATATTGTAAATGGGAAATAGACACTCCCAGAGAGTTTCCTTCATTCACAGTGAAACCCCTGATTCTGTTATTCACCTAAGCACTCTTCAACATATCACTTAAACCTTCCATGGCCAAAATGAAGAGAAAAGGAGAAAGGGGGTCTCCTTGTCTCAGTCCTCTCTCAGAGGGAAAGAAGCTAGTTGGAGAGCCATTTATCAAAACTGAAAACTTCACTGTAGTTAGCAGAACCTCATCCATTTTATCCAGGTGTTGCGAAACCCCATCCTCCTTAATGTTCTCCACATATGTTCCCAATTCAAGTGATCATAAGCTTTTTCTATGTCTAGCTTGCATAGAATCCTTGGAACTTTGGATATGTATCTCATGTCCACACATTCATTAGCCACCAGTATTGCATACATAATTTGCCTGCCCTTTATGAAGGCCATTTGTTGTTCATCCACTAGCTTTGGCATAACTTTCTTGAGTCTCTCTGTTAGAATCTTTGATATGATTTTGTAGTTACTCCCAATCAAGCTAATTGGCCTAAAATCTTTCAATTTGGATGCTCCAAACTTCTTAGGGATCAGGGCTATGAAAGTGGCATTGAAACTTTTTTCAAAGTAGCCCTGGTCATGAAAATTCTGGATGGCAGCTACCACTTCCTGTTTTATCTCTTCCCAGCACTGTTTGAAGAAGGCCATTGTGAAACCATCAGGGCCTAGTGCCTTATCCCCTACACATGAGAACACACAGTTTTTAATATCCTGCTCTTCAAATTGGGCTTGCAAAGCTGCATTATCTTCTTCATCTATCCTGGATTGACCTCTAGGGTTGAACTGAGGTCTCCAGAATTTTGTCTCAGTGTAAAGTTTTTGGTAGAAGGTAGTAACCTCATCTCTGATCTCAGCTGGTTCAGTCACATTGGAACCATTTATGATCAGTTTATCAATGTTGTTATACCTCTTGTGACAATTAGCAGTTCTATGGAAGAACTTTGTATTCATGTCCTCTTCTTTGAGCCACAATGCCCTAGATCTTTGCCTCCAAGCCACTTCCTCTCTCTTGGCATTTTCTTCAAATTCCACTGTCAATACTACTCTTAAATAGGACTCATCATCTGATAGGATTCTCTGATCTTGCATCAGGTCCAGCTCAGCTAGCTGGTTAAGGATGCTCTGTTTTTGCATACCTAGGTTTTCATGTATTGCTTTACTCCATTCTTTCAACTTGACTTTCAGTAACCTCAGCTTGCAAGCTAAAATATAATCCGGTTTTCCCACATAAGTTGCAGAGTTCCACCACTCTTTAACTCTTTCTTTAAAGTCTTGAGTTTGCAGCCACCAATTCTCAAACTTAAAATTAGAGGTTGATCTCTCCCAATTACCACATTCCAACATCAGTGGATTGTGGTCGGAAGTTACTCTAGGTAAGATTGATTGTTTGATCTTAAAGGCTACTTCCCATTCCTCAAATATCATAAATCTATCTAATCTTGCTGCAATATCATATCCATCCCCTTTCCTCCATGTGAATCTGCCACCTACAAGAGGTAAGTCTTGCAGTTCCATGTCCTCTATAAATTCAGAAAATTCTTCCATCTCCTTGTTGAATCTGCTGCAGTTTTTCTTCTCAGATGGGAATCTCACTACATTAAAGTCCCCAGCCACCACCCAAGGTCCATTAAATAGACCCCTCACTGCCCCAACTCTCCCCATATTTCTTCTCTTTCTTCTCTACTATTTGGGGCATAGACACCTGAAAAATGTCATCCCAAATCTTGTGCTTTCCCTGTGAACTTACAAGTGATGTTGTAAACCCCTACTTCACCCTCCCAGATACTACTATCTCACAGGATATGATACCACCTCTTGTCCCCCGTGCCTCTAGTTGTGCATATTTCACCTTCCTATTTGCCCACAAATCTGTTACAATCCCGCTTATATCTCCATTGATTTTTGACTCCTGGAAACAATACACATCTGCCCTCTGTGTATTCATCAAGTTTTTGATTTGCAGCCTCTTACTTGGGTCATTGAGTCCCCTTACATTCTATGAGACTATGTTAACCTTCATTAAGATCATCTATAAAGCATCCCCCCTACTCCTTGTACCATAACTCACAAAATTACTCTTTGGTTCCAAATTCTTGAGTTCTTTCGGGACCTTTCCTACTGGAGTTATAGGAACTATTGCTCCCTCCGCCTTCTTAATAGTTTGTCTTTTACTGTTGATTGCCATAAAGAGGTTCAAAGCCACCTCTTCGCATCCAATGAAATGTACCCCAAATTATTTGCTGAGTCTGATTATGTTTTCTTGGACCCCTGAAGAAATTTCATTCTCTGTTGATGTATCAATTCCATGCTCATTAGAGTTTAGTGGTAAAATATCTTCAATTATGCCTTCCCCCTCTGCCTTTTGATCCAATTTCATATCGCTCACTGTTTGTATCTCTTGATCTGTTCTTTGTTCTTTCCTCTGTTTGGATAATGGACATATCGTCATCATCACTCAGGTTTGCAACAAACTCGAGATTGTTTCCCTCATCTCCCAATTCAAATGGAGTTAGGGCACCTTCTCAACCCTATTCCATTAGAATTATGCAATTTGCTTCTATTTCATCACGTAAAGGCTCAGAAAACCTTTCATTGTCACTAGGCTTCTTTTTTATTTGAGCTGCATCTTTATCCGTTGCTTTTCTTCCCTCCTTGTCTCCGTTGGACTTGTTTGAAACTCCCGTATCTTGATTTCCAGTTCCTCAAATCTGTTATTTGTTGTTATACGAGATAGGTTTGCTTGTATCTCAATGTTAACTATGTCAAGACCTTGGGCTGCATTATTCTTTTGTTGTTGCCTTTTTGGGCCTAAGAAATTTGGGCCCAAATTATCCTTTCTCTTAAGCTGGCCTACTACAGCTGATAAAGGCCCTTTTCCTTTTCTGTTTGCCTCACGTGGAGAGTCGCGTGATCTCTAATTCAACTTTTCGCCAGCTGTTGATGTACCCACGTGGTGGTCCGACTCTTCCACATATTTTAACACTAAAGAGGGAAAGAAACCCTTGTTGCCCATCGGTCCATAATGTTGTTCCTCTCTCCTCGTCGCCTCCTTTCGAAAAGTCACCGGCGCTTCACACCAGATCGGCACTATATACACAAAACCCTCACTGGTGACTTCAATCTCCTTCGGAACCATCTTCCCATCACCCTTCACCTTGATGTGTGCCCAGTGCATGTGATTTTTGAGGGTTGCTTCTTCCTCTGCTTCGATGAAACCCCCACACTGATCTCTGATAAGCTTGAAGACTTTATGGGACCATAGGTTTAGGGGTAAACCCAACACTTTTATCCACACCCAGTCTCTTACTACAACTTCCGGCCAGCAACCTGTGATTGGACTCCACCACTCTAGGTTCAGATGCATCTTCTTCCAAACCCATGTTCCTGCCATGACGTGCTCTGCAACCACTTTTGTGGGTAGCTCGAAAAGGAAGTGTCTGTCGTTCATAGCGAAAACGCTAACTCCTATGGCTGACTTCCAAGTATTGCAAGCCCACCTTCTTACATCATTGAGGATTGGTATCTCTCGAAGTGTGCTTTGGAATTTACCGACAATACATCTCTTGGGGAGATCTGTCTCCGATGTCAGTGTTACGTTCACCACATTTAGGCGGTCACCTTCCACCAGTATGTGTGCCTTCTTCGTGGATTTTGTCGTCCATCTATTGTTCCTTACTGCCTCCTTAAAAGATACTCCTAGTGCCTTCCCTTTGTTAGATTGTGTTTTCTGCTTTGTTGTAGGCTCATAGGTGAATTTTGCTATTTTATGAGCAATGTTTCCCCAACCCGTGTTGTAAGATGATTCCGGTGTAATGATGACTGCTTTGTTTTGTCCTTGAATAGCAATAAAACTGATATATCTGCCATTTTCGTTGTATTTAAGGGTGCAAAAGAAATTCGAGTACAAGTCCTTTACTTTCCATCTTTTGACAGAGTCCCCTTGGACCTTCGACGCCTCAATAAATACTGAAATCAGCCATCTCAGGACTTTAATGCTAATCTTCACTCTCTTCATTAAATTCCTGCTACGTTCAGTCCACTCGTACCATGTTTCTGCTCCTTCTTTACATCTGGTGATTTCATAAGACTTGAAACCTGCGTTATAAAAGATGGTGTTTTCCCCCATTGACATGATCATAAGGCCGAAGTCATATAGAATTGATTTTAAAATGCTCTCAGACACGATTTTCGAGGTTAGCCAACTTTCAACATAAAGTCGTACTTTATCACACCTTTGGGGGGCCAACATATCATATGTAAAAGTAGTTTCCCCAATAAGCCACTTGAATTTGATACACTTCTGATTTGGGGGATGTTAGCATGATGGACAGCTCACAGATCATGAATTTAATAGTGAATAATTGTATATATTAATGTAACTATATAGTGATGTATATAAGTGTAATATTAGAGATTTGTTGTAGTAAATCAAAGAGAATAAAGTTGTGATAGAATAGCAGATTTGGAGGGGTAGAATAGCATTTAAGAGGGATAGAATAGCAGAAATTTGACTAGTTCCACATTTCACTTTACACAAAATAAAAGAAGAGTCATTTGACAATTAAATATTCAAAGTGAAGGCTTGAGATCAAAAGCTAGCACAAAACTTTAAGTTAATGACCAAAAAGGCAAAAAGTTGCAAATGACACTTAGATAAAGATGGAGAAAGAATAGTATCATATGGAACCAAGAAATACATTCAAGTTGCATGAGTGATGAGACCTGATCACCAGGAGCGTAACTATAATCAACAATGACCTGCAAATGCTTAAAATAGGGCGGGTCAAACATAAAAGAGAAACCTGAGCAGAAGATACACTCCATAAAATGGCAAAAGTAACATTTTTTAATCAAGTAATAACATTATTAAAAAGGGAAAGAAACAAGCCTATATACAGCAAGTATACTAAAAGGTAGAAAACCTCACAAAAAAATGGTTTCCTATGAAAGACCCAGTCTTCTATACCTATAGGGAACCTAGTGGGTGCTCCAAAAAGAAATAAGAGATAAACCGCTTTTCCTCAATAGTACAAATCCTTCTCTAACTCCATCAAAAGCTCTCCTATTTCTTTCTCTCCATATGGTCCACATAAGTGCTAAAGAAGAAACATCTTATGCCCTGTTTCTTCTCTTTAGTATTCTAAAGGGGCCTTTTGGTACGAGGGATAAAGAATAATTATTCAGGGATAAAATGTGCAATTATTGTATCCTATGTTTGGTTAGGGGTATTAGTTAGTTTCGAGATTATTTATCCCACCATTTATACTATAATGATGGGATAAGTTATCTCATATATATGGCGGAATAACTTATTGTTGGTTTTTAGCAAAGATATCAGGGAAATAGCAAAGAAAAGCTTTGAGAGAAAAAAAATACAATGTTATCAAAGAGAATTATTTTATTAACAACTCAAAGACATATATTTATAGCTACAATTCCTACTAACAAATAGAAAAATATGCTAATGATTAAATCCAATCACAAAAAAGTAGAAAATTAACTCTTATATTCACTTAACAAAATAATCAGAAATACTAAAAACTAGCTACCGATAGATTTACTGCAATCTTTTAGAGATAATCCAGCTATCTATTTTATTTCAAATATCCCGAGACATATCTTCAACACTCTTGCTTGGATCGGGAAATGTAGATGGTAGTCTTGACTAGTATTTACCTCGGAGCCTGTCAATTCATCTTTGGTCTTGCAAGGCTTGTGCTCATCTTCTGTTGGATTAAATAAGAAGTTTTTACCTCCCATTTTAACTCGTAAAATCTCCTATTTTGTGGAATCAAAGATTCGACAATACTTGTCTGAACTTGTTTTGATTGAAATAGTCCTTTTCCCTTTTGCAGGAATATAGTCATCATTCCCAATTTTGACTTTATTATTTTCCATAGACATGAACTCTTTAAAAATATTTTTGTCATAGGTCATGTGGTTTATACAACCACTATCAATTATCCAACATTCTGACTTCTTGGTTGAAAATATGTTGCCACAAATAAGCGGTCTTCTTAATCTTCATTGGTGACTTGGGCATCTGCTCATATTTCTGAGATTTGCTTTTGCAAGTCATATCTTCATGACCAAGTGGGTTGCACATCTTGCATTGTGCATCTTGCCTCTTTCAACATTTAAATGGAGGATGACCTTTTTGCCACAGCACTGACAAGGTGATGATATTTCCTTGAATTATTACCCTTGCTTTGAGTCATGTGGTTGACTGTCAAGGCTCCTTCAACCATACCAACTAGAAGATGTCATATTTACTAAGGTTGATCTTTAGGCCTGACACCACCTGGAACCATGTCAATACTTATCTCAAGAAGATCAACTGAACACTATCTGCATCACAAAACACATAAGTCTCATCTACAACCAAAAAGTGAACACCCTAACAAAACTTTGTCCACCAACAACTATAGAGAAACCCCTCAAGTAACCTCCTGCCATAATTTTATTTGTCATCTTGTTCAATGCTTCCATCACTAGAAATGAACAGCATAGGGGACAACCGGCACCTAGTCTTAGTCCTCTTGAACTACCACAAAAGCTGCATGGACACCATCACAAGGACCGAATACCTTATTGTTGGATGCAAAATTTGATCCATTTCCTCCATCTCACACCAAAACATATCCGGTGAATGTTTTTAAAGTAGATCAAACTCTAACACTGTCAGGAGGATGAACATCATCAGAACTATTGTTCTCTTAGACTAACATGAACATACTTAAAGCACATGTCATCATGTGCAGCACATACACATACACAGAGGGGGAGAAATAATATGCAAAGCAAGTGTTATTATTTCATAGGCAGAGCAGGTGATAATAATAACTTTTTTCTGGCAGATGCATAGATGGAAAACCATGTGTTAAGCTGGTGGATCATACCTCTGAAAGTTGCTTCTCTTCATTACACAAAACAGTTGTGTCAGAGAGATCACAGTGATTTGCAAAATCAGCAAAGGGAATCTACAATGTGGTGAACAAACTATCAGGCACTTCATGCACCCAAAAAGTAGTCATCCTTAAAACAGTCGTAAAAGATTTAACCTCTCTAGAAGTCAAAATAAAGGAGCTCGCTGAATGAATGTCCTTCCAACAATTATCATCAGACACAAAACAAACTAATATAAGATAGAGTTAAAACCTCAAAATCACCTTTAACTATCCACGTTTTGTCAGTATAATATTTAAACTTTAGGGTGTTGTTACACCACCACCCACCTCTCTACCACATCCCAAACTATAACATTTTGTATCAAAAGAACTCCCAAAGATGAAGGGTTTCTCGAAATAAGTGTCCTTTTTAATAAATAAATTATATTTTTCATGTTTATTATATTCTCTCTCTTCTTTAACAATTATACTCCTTTTATTTTGTATGCAATTGTACCAAAATATGCAATTAATCATTATATATTTTTTACAAATATTTTTAGTGATATTTTATATATATATATATATATATATATATCCACTTATTTGATTATACTAGATATATTATTATTGTTGTTATTGATATAATTTATTTTTAGAGGTACGCTAAAAATAATAAGCAATTATACCAAGTATATATAATATTACACCTTATACTATATATACCGGGTATACCAATTAGCCGTATCCCCGCACCCGTATCCATACTCAGATTCGCACCCCGAATCTTAAAATTTAAATTTTGCCAAATCCGACTCTCAGATTCGCATACGTCTCGAATACCCGCACCCGATTCCGAGCAACTTAGAAGTAGTTTAAATATTCAAACTTTTCAATTGAGATTATTATTATTAAGTAAATTTTGTTCTAAATTGCAATTAAGTTTATGTTATTGATTATCTTTTTTATTTTCCGGTTATTTTTAAAATATGAGTTTTCAACTGAATTTACTATGATAAAAAAATTATTGAATTTTTTGAAGAGGGAAAAAAAGAAACCAATAAATTTAGATAAGCCAAGAAGAACAAATAAGAAAAAATAAATTGTTTTACGCTTTAGTGTAAGATATCTTTTGTTAATTTTGTATTACTGTTATTTTAGAGTTATCTTTAACAATTGAGTTTACTGTTATGGTAAAATACAGTCGTGATTTTTAACTAGATATTTTTTCTGATTATTATATTTTTATTTTACTACTCCTTTTATCCCAGCTTATATGACTCACTTCCCATTTTAGTCAGTCCCAAAAAGAATGACACATGTCAATATTAAGTAACAATTTAACTTTAGAATGTTATTTTATCCTTAATGAAATGATTAATAATCACATAAACATCTATCACTTATTTTAGATCACAAATTTCAAAAGTCTTTCTTTTTTTCTTAAACTCCATGCCAAGTCAAACTAACTCATATAAAATGGGACGGAGGGAGTATTATATTAGGTTGTGTTTCAATCAGTTCTCAGTTATTACAAAAGATAAAATTTAAAAAAATAAAAAATGAATAAGAAAAGAAGAAAGCAAAAAGAAAAAGTAAGAAATAAGAGATATAAAAATAATATAAAATACCACATGGATCCTCTTGTTTGCCTATTTTCTAGCTCCTATACACTACAAAGAGAGTAAAATCACTATCCATGCCACTTGACACTGAAAGGAGTTTCAGATAGAAAAAGTTATAATTCAAGAGGGTAACAGCAACACCCCATAATTTAAGTATTAAACTGATGAAAAGTGGATATTTTAAGGGGGGTTTAAGGTATAAACTCAATACAATTATTGTTCTGATAATGGTAACTTACTCAATATAATAATTAAAGAAAACAATAAAATCCCCTTAACAGAAATACCATGGATACACCTCTGGAACTTTCCCATGCTCGCGATGTAACTGAAATGCAGACAAAGAGTTTTCCATCAATGTGGGCATCCAAGTCCATAATCCATGATACTAAAGGATATGTTGAAACACAAGACCTGCTCCATGAAAAGGAAACAGACTACTTTTCCAACATGCTGCTTTGCTTCTTTGGAGCACAGCTGATAATAAGGGTAGGCAGTTTCCGCATAAGTTAAGACGGTGTTCAGGCATTTAGTTCATACAGACTGGAATTGCTGGTTTATTAACAATGAGAACTACTTCCTTTAACGAAATCCACATCACTAATATGAAACTCACGTCATGAGAAGATAGATGTGTGCTTCCAGCTTCCTTTATGTTTTAATCTTAAGTGGTTTAGATGAATTTCTTCAACAAAATAAATCATTCTAGAGAAAAAGGCAAGGAACACAAGGATTCTTGCAGCTTCAGCTAAACTGCTGAAGTAAAAATGGAAATTTTAATCCTGTCTACTTCTTGCCGCTTATTAATCATGTAGGAAGCTAGAGTTTAAAGATATAAAATACCAACTATGTCATTTGTGAATATTTAACGGTAAGAAAACACTGCAATCATAACAAAATGCACAACAGGTCTGGATCAAATGGCGACCATCTTAGGAGAAGCATTTGAAACTCCAACTAGATCATATTGAAACGGTGTGCACATATTTGCAAGCCTGTAAGAGACAACTTAATTCAAGTAATTTGTAATTAAAAAATTCTTTTAAGAAAAAAATGTATCTACATTGAAAGATTTTACCTAAAGCACATGCATATTTGAAGTTCTCTAATGTCACATCTTGGATAATTTCAGAGAATTGGAAGGAAGCCTGAAATCAAGAAGATAATAATATTTTAGGAAATAGCTTGGGTTAAGATTTATTGTTTTTAAGAGAGTAACAACAAGAAATGTTATCAGGCACATAAACCAAGGTTAGTTAAAGTCTTCTAGTTCCGGGGTACCCGTACATCGCCGGTAAGCTTGGTAAGTGTGTTTTACTTCCATCAAACAATACAACATACCCAATATAATCCCACAAGTGGTGTTTGAGCAGGATAGGATGTACATAAACCTTAACCTTACCTTTGTGGTAGAGAAACTCTTTCCGGTAAACCCTCAGCTCAAAAGCAGAGTAATCAAAGTAGGAATGAAAGGAAAATAACGTCGGCATAATATCAAGAAGTACACATCATATATAGCAACAGGTACTAGTAAAGATCGGAGAATAAGATACTACTTCATCCAGTAATTGACTAAAAACATGGACAACAATATTAATTTTAGAGTTGGAGATAAGTCATAGATATCACCAAAAATGTTATTTTTTGGGAACATGTTATCACCAGATGGAAACAAGGAACAACTTGCTCCAAAGAATGATGATCACCTGGAAAGTTATGACCTGGATATGCCATTTATTACACAAGGTATCAGAGGTTAGAGGCAAGGAAGTCAGAAGGTGGAAGCTCAAGGACCATCAAGCCAACTACTTTTGTGTAAAGAAATTTAATGACTTCGGCAGATTTATATTAACTGTAGAAAGAACAGGGGAGTAAAAGATCCACTGTTATACTACCAGAAACAGCACTCAATACAGGATGGGACGAGCCAGCATACAAAATTAAAAGTCATATTTATAGAAGGGATCACATTATAACAGAATCACAACCTCTAGTGGTGGACTCAACCGATGTTGAAGAAACTAATAGATACAGGTGGACAGCTAGTGCTGGAAAAATCATTGAAGATCCAGGGGAAAGGAGCAACATCAAGCTAATGGAGCAGCGGAAATTCCTGATAAAGAAATTCAGAGCATGCTTAGTGGGACATTTTGACAGAGAGGAGACCCGAAACCAAACAGTTATTTGAAGATAGGCTTAGGGCAAATGGGGAAACTCAATCGGTGTATTTAAAAAGTGTGACCATCAATTCCTGTTTTGAGTTTCCAACCAGGAAACTGGCAGAACACATTCTGATTTGGCACTTGAAGTGGGAGCAAAAATCTCTGCAGTTGTCCTGGTGGTCACCATTGTCTGGATGTGTGCTGGAAAATTCCAGTTTGCCGGGACTTAGATAAGAGTTCCAGGTCTTTCCTTTTAGTCTTACCTCATGCAGTTTCTGCTTTCTGGTTGGCTTGGCGGTGCTTTCCTTCCTCTGTGGAGAGAAGACAGAAAAAGAATGTTTCCTAACTTTCCGTTTTTTGATGAAATAAGAAGGATATCATTAACAAAAAGCATCAAGAAGATGCAAGCATTACAAAGAGATTACCAGCTCCCAGGAAGGCAAAAAAAAGCTATCATAACTATCAAGATCTATGGAGCTGATAAATTCTAGGAATGATTTAACCGTAATTACAGAGGAGTGGTTGATCCAACTAAAAAGACTAATCAAACATCTAGCCTTAAGAGAGGAAAGGGGTCACTTTTTGAGGCAAAAACCATTAAGACTGACCCAGCTGAAACAGATCACTTTTGGAGGCATCTTAGTTCTCCAGAGAAGTTTCCAGAGCCACAGATCAATAAGTGTCTTCCTTGAGCTTAGATGTAAGTAGCCTTCTTTGACCAAATAGGTGCCATCCCTGTTACTTCCCCAAGTGAGTCTATCCTTGCTTTGGCTGTGGACTGAGCTGGTCTGGATGGTGGCCATGAGGGCTATAAATTCTTCCAACTCTCCATCGTTTAAATTTCTCCTCAGAGTCACACATTCTTCCCAACACTAAGAGATGGTTGATTCTGGATTGGAGGCAATCTGAAATACTCTAAGAAATACATTCATAAGAGAGATGTTACCAGCCATGTGCCTTTCCAAAACTGGATGTACTCCCCGCATCCCACTTTGAGAGTAGCAGTGCTATAGAAGACCTCCCACAACTTCCTCGTGGCTTTCCAAACCCCTGTGCTAACGGATTGTGACTTCATTCGAGCACCAGTGACGAGTGCTAGCAAATTTTGCTTGGATCACCTCCTTCCATGGACCAGTTGTCTCCTGATTGTACCTCCAACGCCACTTCTTAGTATACACTTGTTATGTAATGCCAGGTCTTTAATCCCTAAGCCTCCAAACTGCTTTGGCCTGGTAACTTTGGCCCATTTCACAGGGTGGAATTTGTGGTCCTTACTATTACCTTCCCAGAGGAAGTCTCTCCTAATCTTGTCAAGATGTTTTTGCACCTTAAAAGAGGGACATAAAATAGGTGGGAACACTATCCAAGACACTATTGACGAGCGTTACCCTACCCCCTATTGAGAGATATTGTTGTTGCCAGGAAGTCAATCTTCTTTCAAACTTTGACACAATACCACTCCAAGCCCCAACTGATTTGTAACTAGCACCCAGTGGTAACCCCAAATAGGCAGTGGAAAAAGATCTAATTGAGCAGCACCTGATGTCTGCCATATTCTCCAAGTCAGGGACCTCATTAACAGGGTAGATAATACTTTTAGACATGTTAATGTGGAGTCCTGACATGGCTTCAACAAGCATAAGAGTGAGGTTAAGGTATTGCACTTGGGATTTCTCAGCTTCACAGAAGATCAGTGTGTCATCAGCAAACAAGATTCTGATTAACTCTAAATAAATCCCCTTCCTCAGTCGACCCTATCTTCTGTAGAGGTCCCCGACACCTCTGCATGCTAACTTCATCACACTGCCGACCCATCTGAGAAAGTCTTCGTTGATCTTGATCTTACTTATAAACCAACTGTTGAACTCTTTGAACAAGAACCACCTGAATGGACCTTCACTAATATCGATTGATTCAAAAGACTTCACTAGAAATAAAGAAGCACACCCTATCACCCATACCGAAAAAGCTAAACCTTTGATGAGTTGGTATTTTACCGACTCATTAGACCCAAATTCATAAAGTATTGTCGACTCATTAGACCCAAATTCATAAAGTATTGTCTTGTTTTAATGCTGTTAAATTAGGTCTTAGGCCTAATTCACACCCCAAAAGCTAGCTCAAAGGGAGGAGGATTGCCCAAGCCTTATAAGGAGTCCACCCATCTCATTAACCACCGATGTGGGACTTTTGTCATTCTTTAACACCCCACCTCACGCCCAGTGCTTAGCATCTAGTGCGTGGGCAATTTTGATTTTGAGGGCCCCAACATCGGGTGAAACAAGCCCTGCTTTGATACCATGTTAAATTAGGTCTTAGGTCTAACTCACATCCCAAAAGCTAGCTCAAAGGGAGGAGGATTGCCCAAGCCTTATAAGGAGTCCACCCATCTCATTAACAACCGATGTGGGACTTTTGTCATTCTTTAACAAACGCAATTGAAGGGGTTTTAGGCCCTAGTTCTCTAGGATGCAGCCATTCCTTGAAAAAAGCAAGTTTGATGGATTTGAAGCCCCAAAAAAAGCACTGAAGCACACCGGCAAAGGAACTAACATCCCGCAGGAACCAACAGGCATCTTGCAGGAAGCAGTTCTGGATGTTGAGTCATTTAATGAAAGACGTCCCCAACATATCAACTCAAACTGAGAAACGTGAGTGGATCACCATCTTAATTCCTCGGGATCAATATTTTCCAGAAATGGTAGGGGAGTTCTATGTGTCATATCGAGCCAAAATGGACAAGCAAGGACAAAAGGAGGATACAGAGACAAGACCATCCATAACATTTGTGGTTGTAAGAGGAAAGGAAATTCCTTAGTACTCTTACATACTTTTTGGGGTTAGAAGTTCATTATAATTCTTTAGGTGTGTTCTTGAACCAACACACTACTCAGGAATTGATTGCTTTGGCTGGTCTTCAAGAATCTTCCTCTGTAAATACTCCATTGGAATTGAATGTAAAATATTGTCGTGCGGAAGGAGATCTTCTTCCTGATCCAACTTTGTATCGGCAATTAATTGGGAGCCTAAATTATCTTACTATTACTCGACTTGATATCTCTTTTGCAGTCAACAAGTGAGTCAGTTTATGTAGGCTCCCCGCCATCTACATTTGGTGGTTGTCTGTCGCATCATTCGATATCTCTTGCGAACATCTACTCATGGATTATTCTTTCCAAGTGGTTCTGAGATTCAACTTAATGCATTTAGGGGTCGTTTGGTAGTGAAGGTTTTAAAAACCTGTTTAAGCTAAATAATACAAAGGGAAATCAAAGATTGTGCGTAAAACAAAAAAGACGAGAGAGAGAAAAAAGAATAGAAGCAGAAGAAGAATAATTTTTATTAATGCTTCAGATTAGATATATAAGAGCCTAGAATGAAAAGTAAAAAAAAAACAATAACACACGATTTAGCAGTTCACTTAACAACTCCTAAATAATAGGAAAGCATGACTAACAACTAATTGACTAAGTCTTACTTAAAACATAGGCAGTAAAATTAAATTTACTGCAGTTCTAAAGCAGAATCCTAACACTCCTCCTTGCTTTGGATACTGCAAACTCCAATTTTCTGTCTAAGAAGCTCGAATTTGTTGATCGGTAAAGGCTTAGTAAACAGATCTGCTAGCTGATTTTCAGACTTGCAGTAGACTAGAGTCACTTCTCCCCTTTGCTGCACTTCTCTCAGGAAATAGAACTTGATGTTGAAATGCTTGGTCTTCTTGTAAATCACCGAATTGTTTGAGATTGCAATAGCTGCCTGGTTGTCGACAAGAATGAAAGTACTTTCCTTCTGTTCCAAATGTAAATCATGCATGATCTTTCTAAGCCACAAGACTTGGTTTACTGCTCCTGTTGCTGCTATGAATTCAGCTTCTGCAGTTGATTGTGCAACAATTTCCTGTTTCTTAGATGACCATGAGAATATTCCAGAACCTAGGCTGAAACAATGGCCAGAGGTACTTCTCATATCATCTGCGGATCCAGCCCAATCACTATCTGAGAATCCAAGTAACTTGAAGCTTGGACAGTTCTCAAACTTTACACCATAGTCAATAGTACCTTTGATATATCTTAATATTATTTTTGCTGCTCTTAAATGCATTTCACTTGCACAATGCATAAAACGAGATAGGAGACTTACAACAAATAAAATATCAAGCCTCGTTGCAGTGAGATACATTAAGCATCCAATCAAGCTTCTATAATAACCTTCATCAACTTTGTCGGCTCCATCTTCTTTACAGAGCTTCTCTTTTTGATTCATCGGCGTGCTCATCGACTTGCATTCCTCCATTTGAAATTTCTTCAGAATTTCCTTTGCATATTTCTTCTGGCAATTGAACACTTCACTTTTGCTTTGCTTGATCTCCATTCCAAGAAAATAGGTCATAAGACCAAGATCTGTCATTTCAAAAACTTGCATCATTTCTTCTTTAAACTCCTCAACCAGCCTTGTATTATTTCCTGTTACCAGAAGATCATCAACATAAAGCGACATAATAAGTATATCAGTGTCTTTATGTTTTACATACAAAGTGGATTCAGATAAGCTTTTTTCAAAGCCCAAGCTTAACAGATGATCATCTATCCTACTTTACCAAGCTCTTGGTGCTTGCTTTAGGCCATACAGAGCCTTTTTTAGCGGATAGACTTTGTCTTCATCACCGTGTTTCACAAATCCTAATGGTTGCTCGACATATATTTCCTCCTCCAGTATGCCATTTAAGAAGGCAGATTTGACATCGAGTTGGAACACCTTCCATTCCATTTGTGCTGCTATTGCCAGTAGCAATCTGATTGTGTCTAATCTTGCAACAGGAGAAAAAGTGTCAGAGTAATCAACACCATAAATTTGTGTGTACCCTTTAACTACAAGCCTCGCCTTGTATTTGTTGATGGAACTATTTGAATTTAACTTTGTTCTGTAGACCCATCTCACACCAATGACTTTTCTATCTTTAGGTTTGTCGACCAGCACCCAAGTTTTATTTTTCTCCATCATAAAGATCTCCTCCATTGCTTTCTTCCATTTTGGGTCTTGAAAAGCTTCTACGGGACCAGCAGGTTCATAGATGGTGACATTACACCTCTGATAGATATCTGACAACAATCTTCTCCCCTTGACTGGATGATCATCTTCTAGTTCTTGCTGTCAGTGTTCTGTTTTTTGCTCTTCAGGAGGGCGGATGTTTGCTTCTAGAGAGCATTTTCCTGATTTCTGAGAGTTCTTCCAGTCCCACTGTTCGTTCTCACTAAAATGAACATCTCTTGTAATTGTCATCTTTCCTGTTTGAGGATGATAGACCTTGTAGGCTTTAAAAACTCCACTGTAACCCACATGGATGCCTATGATTGCCTTCTTGTCAAGTTTGTCACGTTTAACCTGAGGAACATGAACAAAACAGACACAACCAAACACTTTAAGAAAACTTAGTGAAGGCTTAAACCCGTACCAAGCTTCAAATGGTGTTTTATCCTTCAAAGCTTTCGTTGGAAGTTGATTCTGCATAAAAACTGCGATATTTGTTGCCTCTGCCCAAAATATCTTAGGCAACTCCTTCTCATGCAACATACATCTGGCCATCTCCATTATCCATCTATTTCTTCTTTCACTAACACCATTTTGTTCTGGTGTGTATGGTGTTGTAAGCTGATGCACAATGCCGGCCTCCTCACAGAATGAATCAAATTTCGTTGAAGTGTATTCCTTCCCATTATCAGACCTCAAACTTGAATCTTACAATTACTTTGATTTTCCACCAATTTCTTGAATTTCCAGAATACACCAGCAACTTCTAACTTAGATTTCAAGAAAAAAATCCAACACATTCTTGTAAAATCGTCAATGAAAAGAACATAATAGATGCTACCTTGTAGTGATGGAGTTCTTTGAGGCCCTGCGACATCAGTGTGAACTAGTTGTAGCTTTTGTGAGGCTCTCCAGGTTGATTTTGGAAATGGCTTTCTGTGTTGCTTACCAAATTGGCAGGCATGACATTCAGTGGAATTTGCTTCCAGATCAAGTGAGCTTTCCACCATCTTCAACTTTTGCATCTTGACAAGCCCTTGATAATGATAGTGCCCGAGTCTCTTATGCCATAACTCAGCGACATTTTCTTTTGCTGAATACAGCATCTGCTCTTCCTCAAATGGATCTAATGAGAAACTTTTTCCTCTCATTTTGACTTTAAACAAGTCCTGCCTTGAGGGATCCTTGATCAAGAAATATTTATCTTCAAAATAAAGTTTGAAACCTTTTTCTAACAATTGACCAACACTTAACAAGTTTCGGTCCAAGTCTGGTACATAAAGAACATTTGTTATTGTTTTTGTACTTGCTTGTGTCTCAACTGCAATAGTTCCCATTCCTTTTACTGGAATGTGACCACCATGGCCTATTCGAACATTAGCAACTCGAGTAGGCTTCAATTCTTTGAAGAGTTCTTTATCATGAGTCATGTGATTTGTGCATCCGCTATCAATCAACCACGACTCGCTAGAAACATTGCTTGCAAAACATGATGCAACAAATAGTTGATCCTCCTCCTGTTCATTTACAACTCGAGCATCTACATCCTGCTGCTGAGTTTTGTTCTTACAAATGATTGCTTCATGCCCAAACTGATTGCACTTACTGCACTTAGCTTCAGGCCTTCTCCAACACTTGAAAGGTGCGTGTCCGATCTTGCCGTAATGTTTACAAGGAGGGTAGTTTCCTTTGAAGCTACCTGTTTTGTTTTTTGTTTTTTTGATTTGCACCGGGTGTCCGAGTCTCTTTGAGCCCCGACTAATCCCGGGGGTGCACAGGCCCTCGGCAAGGAGTTTCCCGCAAGTGCACCACGGTTAATTCAGGTTTTTACCCAGTCCGATGGCCCTCAGAAATTGTTTGCACCCAGTGGGTTTCGAACTTGAGACCTTGAAAGGGAGCAAACCCCAAGGCTCAAGTCAATGCGTAAAACAAAAAAGACGAGAGAGAGAAAAAAGAATGGAAGCAGAAGAAGAATAATTTTTATTAATGCTTCAGATTAGATATATAAGAGCCTAGAATGAAAAGTAAAAAAAAACAATAACACACGATCTAGCAGTTCACTTAGCCACTCCTAAATAATAGGAAAGCATGACTAACAACTAATTGACCAAGTCTTACTTAAAACATAGGCAGTAAAATTAAATTTACTGCAGTTCAAAAGCCGATTCCTAACAGGTAGAGTGTATTAGGAAAAATAATGCATGTATTAGCCTTGTGTATTACTAGTACCTTGCTTGGTACTCTTTTTCAACCTATGTATAACTAGTGCTTGCATTAGTTATACACTCTATTGTGTATTAAGGAGTGCATTGTTAATACTATGGATTTCTAGGTATTAGCAAAGCAATGGTTTTAATGCATGCATTAATATGATAAAAGACCCACTTACCCCTCAAAACCTTTTTTACATCTTTTCCACCATAAAAGTCAAGGGTATCTTTGTAAATAATTTTTTTAATGCCATACATACTATTTTTAATGCATCAAACCAAACAATGCATAATCTATGTATAATTAATGCAAGCATAACTAATACATGCATTGCTAATGCAAACATTACTAATACACTCTATTTAG